CAGATATGATGAACCCTATGAGTTTCGCCATTATACACCATGCCGATTTCAAACGTCTACTTTAGTTACGTGCCTATCTGCTCGCTTCATTGAAAACCTGACAACGCTAATTGGAAGTTTGCAAGCAAGCATATATAGTACATCTTTATAGTCTACGCCGGTATCTATCAAATCAGACTCCTGTCTTTATAGTAGAAACTCGTGGTGCAAGTGAAGATGCCTTTCTCCCAAACATTCCCTCTTAAACACAGTCACGCCGGCACAAGCGGCAAGTGGACTAACATGCTAGAAAATACATGTATAAAGAAAGAACTAGTCGATGCTCTTGAGGATATAATTGAGTCCTAATCTTTTTGACTATTGTTGAAGCTCTTAGGCCCAAGCAGTCTTACTTAGGACTGCTCCAGAGGCAGCAGTCAATAGTTCTGACATCCTAGGAGATGTAAGTAGAGGAGATATATAGAAATAAAAGTACTAGTGGTCAAATAGAAGCCGAGTGGTGACTGATCCTCTATATTTCTCAGATCGACACACAATTGCCAAGAGTCGCACAAATCTGCTTCGTCAGTTGAGACATTCTATAAACACAAAGGGTTTAGAAAAGGGTAACTCCACGATATAATACTGCGGAGAACTATTCCATGTTTGATGAAAGCAGATTAACAAGAACGCGGTAGCCTCGCTGTGAATCTCAATAAAAGGGAATAAACGGGCTTGTGCTTCCTAAATGAACTAGCTATGACATTGATTTAACTAGCTTATTTCCTGCTGTTTTGGTTTCTTAACTGTTTTTCAATTTTTTTCTTTCTTATTTCTCTAACACACCATGTTCAGGTGGCGACCTCTCAGATCTTACCATTGTTGAGGTACGAAAAAGTGATATTGGTCATTGTTGAGGTACGAAAAAGTGATATTGGTCGGAGGATGACCGAAGGTAACTTAGCTCTTCTTCGCTTTGGTACTCTTGCAGCCGACGCGACTGTGAAAAAGTGCGACAGTACATCAGAAAGAGACATCTAGTTCGAGGGTCATTTAAGAGAAGTCAGTTACGGCAGTGCATACCTTAATGATTCTGGTATGCAACGGCAGCTCGAGATGTGGTTTGGAAAGGCATGAAGCGCTTGTCCGTCGGCCAACATGAAGTGGTTGAAGGCGGGGACTAGGCTTTGTGAGATTATTACTTTTCTGTGACCTGCAACGTACTAACATGCGACTAGTCATATCAAATTAGTGACTGTCCACGGCCCAAAGATATTAGTAGCCCAAGCAGCACTGTATATAAGTCTTCATATAGGACAGGGTGGCCTCAAATGAATTGGATGTTGGTAAGCATGTAATCAAAGCACTTAGGGTGGCCTCAAATGAATTGGATGTTGGTAAGCATGTAATCAAAGCACTTAGATTGGAGAAGTATTATCCTGTATTGCAATTTAGACTTCAAAATTACCCCTTACTAGAAGTAATGTTAGTAGTGGAGTGAATATAAAGTGGTTATCTTTTCAACGTCCTATTTGAGGCTAATGCTGTGTGCATGCTCACAAGTTTGAAATAAGTCTCGTGGCCATCACGCAGAAAGGGAGGGCTTAGCGTTTTGCCTGCTCAAAGATAGAGTATACGAATGCCGAAATAAGCCTTCATTAGATTCAACACGTATTTGACTTATTGACCAAACGACAGGCTGGTGGTTAACCGCGCATCCTAATCAACGACGGATTAGCCACACACGAATCTCTGGAGGTGCTAACATTCTGCCATGAAAACAATATCGTTCTCTGTCGTTTGCCTTCCCATACCTCACATAAGTTACAGCCTCGCGACGTCGGCGTCTTCGGTCTCTTAAAGACTGCTTATCGTGAGCAAGTCGAGCAGTTGTTTCGCAGCGTTGCAAACACTGTTGGGAAACCAACACTTTACTCTCCTCTACGATCGTGCCCGGACCACCGCTTTCACACCCGAAAACATCAAGTCCGCATGACGCAAGGCAGATTTATTTCCTTTTGATCCTGATCGTGTGCTCCGAGGTATGAGACACCCTTCTATAGGAATGCTCACGGTGCCTAATGCGCGAGCTGCCCTTAATGCGCCGGTCAGTTCTCTAGTCGAAGATATGCCCTTGACTCCGACCACGTCAGAGGCCTTGACGTTTGATGCGTGTAAAGGTCGAAGAAGACTTAACTAATTCAGAGGCCTTGACGTTGATGCGTGTAAAGGTCGAAGAAGATCTGGCATCGGTGGGGACCAGCAGCACACAGCGACTGCAGAAGATCATCAAAGGTTTTCAGAGCACGCTCGCTCATTGTGCTGTCTTGTCCGCTGAAAACCGGTGGCTGATGGAGCAGAACAACGAGAAGACGGCACGAGCTTCGGTTCGCTCAACGGTTGTAGGTGGACCCAAAGTAATGACATACAATGACATTGTCGAACGACAAAAGTTTCGAGAGACCGTAGAAAGACGAAACTCTGGCGCAACAAAACGCCGGACCGGTGGTCGCAAACCTGCTGAGAGCAACGCCGCAGAGCAGGCAGGTTGAACCGCGCTCAAGCTCAGGCCCAAGGATGTCCAGGATATCCTCAGGCTCTCCAATGGTAATGGAGTGTAGGTTGTACGTATAAACGCCTCCTCTTGTGCCCTTTCTCTTTTTTGCAGCCTTTCGCTAGCTACAAACAAATGAGGGCATGCTGTAGATCGAAACTACAATGGCATCGAGGAACATCAAGGCGTTAATGGAGCAAGTCGATGATAATTATTTCTAAAGTACTCCATATATGATAATGAAGCGTGTTTTCAGGGACGGAGGTTTAGGCTGATCTGCTTGATGCAGTTAACGAGGTTCGTTCATTCCTTAAATCGCATACTCGTAGATGTGAGTATTTTGCCAACCGTCATTAGAATTACGGCACCTGAACCTGGCAGGTATCGCATCGGGAACGGTTTTGATGTCTTCGTATCTTTTTTTAAAACAATTTTTCATAGTTCGAACGCTATCCTTGATTGACCCAGTCCACGTATCACTAAGAAAAGGTGTGGCGATAAGCGGGCCAAATTTGTGCTCGGGGGAGAAGAAAAATGTCGAGGTCGGACAATATGATTCACATGCGTACAGGGTGACTAACGGGAAAGATCATCTTACAGTGTTGTATCAATGATGGCAGTGAGTTAGAGTAGCCGGTGTGGCTGCGAGGTTGATGCAAGCTGCGACAATAAGTATCTCACTGCTATTCGCTGGCGAGTCAGCCTAACGAGGGGCTGAGCAGCGCTACATGATCTCTTCAGCCTGATAAAATGAATACGATGTATTCCGTACTCCCCTTGACTTCTCCTTCCACCGAGGAGCATCTATTTCACTAATATGTCAGGCCTCGAGGTGCTCGGCGGCATCAGTGCAGTGATTGCGATCATTGACGGCTCGGTCAAGGTCTGGGAGAGTGCACGTAAAGACCTCAAGTTCAGCGCGACCTTCGAAACTGTGGGTAATCGACTACCCATTCTACGAGACATCCTCCAAACCTGCCTCGAGCAGTTCGAGCCGATCAAAACATCCTTACCCGCCGATGCTGCCCATGGTCTGGTGAAGACTGTCAACAATTGCAAGAGGAGGGCTGAATCACTGGGAACCATCTTCCAAGAAACGATCCCAGGCGAGGATGACCAGTGGTATGAGCGGTATCGCAAGGTGGCTCGGCGACTGGGCAAGGGGAGCAAAGTCGAAGAGTTGATGAGGGCAATCACAGAGGATGCACAGAATCTGGTTAACTACCACGCAGTGAAGTCAGCAAGCCCAACGTTATACACCAAGCTCAAAGAGATTTCCGACGAGATGGCTTCACTGGAGCCATCATTACCTGTGGATGAAGCCGATACACAAACCTTTCACAACTATGATGGTACGCAGATTGTTAGTACCGGCAGCAGCACGCAACACAACAACATCAATCTAAGTAGCGGCACGATGTACAGTTTTGCAAGTATCACAGGCAACCCTGTCTTCGGTCCAGGTAAGAACTAGTCAGACCTAGAGAGAAGATATCCATACGGCTGCGCAGACCAATCGATAAGTCTTTAACATACAAGTAACATTTTTTGTATCCATAATAACGTTAATCCTGCTCCGTCCAGTTTTTGTTAAACGGCCTGAAACTCCACCTTCGCCATCGTCAACAGTGCCTTTCCGTCGCGACGACGATTTTGTCGACCGCGGGACGTCAGATGACAATAGGACTCTACTGGAACGCATCGAACAACAATGTAGACCTGCGGCGTCAAGAGTCGCGCTTGTGGGGATCGGTGGAGCCGGGTAAGTTGATCATTCTTTGCCAGACACTATCCACTAACAAGCCCATAGTAAGTCCCAGCTCGGCATTGAATATTGCCATCGCCTCCGCGAACGGTCCCCTCAAACGTGGGTGTTTTGGATCCATGCAAGCAATGCCGACCGAATCGAGCAGGGATACCGTGAGATAGCGGAAGGAATGAAAATTCCCGGCCGCAATGATCCGAAACAAAACATATTTGAGTTGGTGGCAAGATGGCTGCGGGACGAGTCCAAGGGGACATGGGTGTTAGTTCTGGACAACTTAGACAAAGACGATGTCCTTTCGATCCCTCAAGCAGCCACACCAGGGGCGCAGTTTGGTGATAGAGATGATCAGCTTAGACGACCGTTGTCAGCATATCTTCCACAAAGCCAGAACGGGGCAATCTTGATTACGACGCGAATGAGAAGCATGGCAACAAAGATTGTTGAGCCCCGAGATGTGATCGTGGTTGATCCGATGACTGACATGGATGCGATAACACTCTTGAAGAAGAAGCTAGACACACCCTTTGATGATGGTGACTTACAAGAGCTAGCATATATACTAGAGTATATGCCGTTAGCGATTGTGCAAGCGGCAGCATATATCCGACAAAGAGGAGCGAGGTATAGTGTCCAACAATATATCAAAGCATTTCAGCGAAATGAGAAAAAAAAGACAAGTCTTCTCAACTATGAAGCGGGTCATCTTCGGCGAGATCCGGAAGCGAAGAATTCCATCATCATTACATGGCAGATATCGTTTGATGATATCCGAGAGAAGTGGCCATTATCGGCTGACCTACTGTCGTTGATGTGCTATTTCGACCGGCAGGGCATCCCTCAGGAAGTCTTGAGGGTCCAACCACAAGAAGAAGAGATCCAGAAAATGTTGAGGCTGAATGACGATAATGTCGAAGACAACGAGAATAACGAAGGTGAGGACATTAAAGATGATGGTACATCCAAGACGAGTAATGATGACATGTTTGAAGAGGCTGTAGACCAGCTTATGAGCTACTCATTTGTGTCTCTTGGAAAGGATAAGACGTCCTTCGAAATGCATGGACTTGTCCAGCTAGCGACACGAAAGTGGCTCGCGATGCATAAAGAGGATGAGAAATGGAAGGCACAGTTTAATAGGAACCTTAACGCGGTGCTTCCAAATGGCAATTACGAGAACTGGGGCCGGTGCGAGATGTTCTTTCCACATGCAAAGTCGGCCGAGAGGCATCAACCAACGGATAACAGATCAGGGCAAGAATGGGCCCAGATATTACAGAAGGCGGCATGGTATGCAGAGGCCAGAGGAGATTATCGTGAAGCCGAGAGGATGTGTGACAAGTCAGTTAAAGCGCTACAGAAAATACTTGGTGGAGAGAATGTCGAGACATCGTATAGTTTAGGAACACTAGCATCAATATACTGGAATCAAGGACGTTGGAAGAAGGCGGAGGAGTTGCAGGTGCAGGTGATAGAGACGACGAAGAGAGTGCTGGGACAAGAACACCCACACACGCTGACCAGCATAGGTAACCTTGCAGTGATATACGGGGATCAAGGACGCTGGAAGGAGGCGGAGGAGCTGCAGGTACAGGTGATGGAGACGACGAAGAGAGTGCTGGGACAGGAACACCCACACACGCTAAACAGCATAGACCACCTGGCATCGACATACGGGAATCAAGGACGCTGGAAAGAGGCAGAGGAGCTGCAGGTACAGGTGATGGAGACGACGAAGAGAGTGCTGGGACAGGAACACCCACACACGCTGAACAGCATAGACAACCTGGCATTGAAATACAGGGATCAAGGACGCTGGAAAGAGGCGGAGGAGCTGCAGGTGCAGGTGATGGAGACGACGAAGAGAGTGCTGGGACAGGAACACCCACACACGCTGAACAGCATAGACAACCTGGCATTGAAATATACATTGAGCAGCATGCGCAACCTTACATTGACATACGGGGATCAAGGACGCTGGAAAGAGGCGGAGGAGCTGCAGGTGCAGGTGATGGAGACGACGAAGAGAGTGCTGGGACAGGAACACCCACACACGCTAACTAGCATACACAATCTGGCATTGACATACGGGAATCAAGGACGCTGGAAGGAGGCGGAGGAGCTGCAGATGCAGGTGATAGAGACGAGGAAGAGAATGCTGGGACAGAAACACCCAGACACGCTGAGCAGCATGTACAACCTGGCATTGACATACGGGGATCAAGGACGCTGGAAAGAGGCGGAGGAGCTGCAGGTGCAGGTGATGGAGACGAGAAAGAGAGTGCTAAGACAGGAACACCCAGACACGCTGAGGAGCATGCACAACCTGGCATTAATATACAGGAATCAAGGACGCTGGAAAGAGGCAGAGGAGCTGCAGGTACAGGTGGTGGAGACGACGAAGAGAGTGCTAGGACAAGAACACCTACACACGCTGACCAGCATAGGTAACCTTGCATTGACATACGGGGATCAAGGACGCTGGAAAGAGGCGGAGGAGCTGCAGGTGCAGGTGATGGAGACGAGGAAGAGAGTGCTGGGACAGGAACACCCAGACACGCTGAGCAGCATGCATAACCTAGCATTTACTATGAAGGAGCAGGGTAGAAACTGGGAGGCCATCAAACTCATGGCGGAATGCGTCCAATTGCGTAACCAGGTCCTTCATGCTGAGCATCCTGATACGCTTTCTTCTGCTGCAATGTTGGCCGAGTGGCAAAGGTTCGAATGAATATAGCGTTATAAATCGTGTGAATATAATGTTGTAGTTTCTTCTCGTTTATATCACATTACTTTAATATGGTAAAACAGCTTAATCACAGTAGATCACCCCTCGGACAACAATATGTGACAGCAAAATACGTGATATTGATGGTAAGGGACGGTACTATGTCTGGGGTATGTGTCTTTACAAACTACTTTTCTTGCCAAGCCGTAAGGGTTCTAATAACTGCTCTTCCAGAAGTACCTTTCCCTGCAACGGAAAGTCTCTGGACACTACATGGGAGATGAAGAACAGTGCTAGCAAGAAATTTCTCTCAGTCTAATATTGACCAAAACCCACCGCTTGTGCGTGATCATGTATTCCTCCTTCTACATCGCAGTGTGGCTCTTCTCGAGGAACCGGGGTCTACATGTGTGTTCGCAAATTTGATTTACAATATTCGTAAGAGAAACATCATAGTTGGTAGTGAAGAATATGGAGCCAAGCCCTAGGTACCAATCTAATTTTCACCTCACGGGGATTTGGAAGGGTTGTTTACCACCTCGGGATGTGGGTTACTGGATCTGATTGTCGTACAGGGCTCTTGTTCTTTACAATGCGGTTAATGCCGCCCTTGCCGCCGCCCAGCAGCTGCAGCAGGTTCCAACCCTGCATGTAGCTGGCCAGCAATTGGCGCCCCTCTTACATAGTCCGCAAGGTCGCGCGGTACTTGCTCTAGTAGGTCAGAATGTACGTTTCGTACGAGATGCCATCACACCAGAGTAAGTCCTTACCCATCGGCCTTCGTACATAAATGTCATTCTCATACAATCTCGAGGAGTCGTACTGAATCCTCCTTGTGCTGCTTGTGCTGCCATCCCTAGACCAGGCTTTCGTCCGTTTCTAGAGTGTCATCGTGTACCAGGACACTTTAGAGGATGTTGCGGGAACTGCAAGTGGCGTGACTACGGAGCCCGTTGTACAGCTTATGATAATGATGATGATGATTCGTCTAGGGGACCAGATAATGATTCTGATGTTGAGATTGTTGGCGTACAGGCTATCGAGGGGCCTGGTGCGGCGGCAGGGAATCCTATTGTGATACAATAAGGTACGTACGAAGCTTTCTTATTTTTGTTATAAGCGTATTGCATCAGCACTGCTTAGTCGTACGGGAAGTGTACGACACTCAGATGAGAACTTCTACCTCTACGTAGTATCTGGGACTAGTAGCCGAAAGGTGAAGCCAAAGAAGTTCATTATGTAGAGTTGAAGAGTTGGCGTGGAGTTGAAAAGTTGGTGCGGAGTTCAAAATGTTGGATGTGTCGTTAACCCAGTACAGTAATAGTCCGCCGTAGTCTGTGCGAAGTGTCCTGAGTCTTGACGCGATTTTGGAGCTGGGACAACAAAGCCTAGCTGCGCGATTGAGGCCGTCTTCCCTCCACGCAAGGTCGAGTCAGCACGCTCTCACAAGCAACCGGCTGAGAAACATGTTTGGATCGTCGCAGCCGTCTTCAGGTGCTGGAGGAGGGGCAGGAGCGTTTGGGAGCCTGGGATTGGGCGCAAGTGCAGAGCAGCCGGCAAAGCGCAAGTCAATATTTGACATTTCATCCGCACAGACTACACAACCACAACCACAGCAGTCTTCGCTTTTTGGCTCCGCCTCTACTGCAGCAGCCTCATCTACCTCAATGTTCGCGCAATCCACCAGCGCAGGCCAGTCCCAAGGTCTCTTCGGAGCCGTACCCGGCACTTCAGCACCAGCAAGCGGTACCTTCTCCTTTCTTGGTGGCACGGGCTCACAGCAACAGCCACAGGCTCCGCAGCAGTCGCAGCCATCTGGCCTGGGCAGCTCCATCTTCAGCAATGCTCCACCAGGCCAGTCGTCCCAGCAGCAGTCGCTTGGTCAGTCCCAGGCCCGAGACCCTGCCCACTTCAACAGCTTGCTCGAAAGACAGAGGAAGCGCCAACGTTTTGGCGCCTCAAGCCAGAATGGACGCGTCGGTCAGCTGCCTCATCTCAACATGGACTTGGGGGATTTGGCTAGGCGTGCTCAGGAGATTGGTGGGAGAGGTTCCAAGCCGGCGTTGGTGAACGGTGCAGACAGTAGAGCCCATTACTTGCTTGCCGGGTCAGGCGTCGCACCGGGAAAAGCTACCAAAGAATTTGAGAGACTGGAGCGAGATGGTCAAGCACCTACGTATCAACCTGCCGAACCATTTGACCCGGACAACGAGAAGTACATACGCGGTCTACAGGAACGAGGTCGGGAGGCAATGATTCAAGAGGCAATCGACCGTGTGCGTCGGGACTTTGATGCCCACCTGGAAGAAAGCTTGAGCATCAATTTCGAGGAGCAGAAGAAGAAAATCATGCAGCACTTCGGTCTCATCGCCCGAGATGAGGTTGCGGACGAGCCAGACGGAGCACAGCCAGACCAGGGTGGGTTTGGACACACTTCTACTGGAAAGAGGCCATTCGAGGACTCGGCCAAAGCATCCACTCGCAGCGTTTTTGGCAGGTCAGGTCTGGCCAAGTCGTTGATTGGGAGTCCAGCCATGGGCGCAAGTACGACCAGCTTCTTTGGAGATAGCAGTGTGAACAGTGGAAATAGCTCGTCCCTGGGCAAAGGCCAGAATGGGCGGTTTCTACGCGACAAGGAGCGGTTCTTTCTGCAGAAAGTGCAGCAATTGAATGCAGCGCGGCTTCAAGAGAAGGTCTACCCTATTCTGCGAGAGTTTGCCATGGTCGAGGATCAAGCTGGAGGAGACATTCCCCACCAGCTAGTCGATTCGTACGACGCGCTCATTGACATTACCAAGGAGGACGCGGAAGTGCAGAACCAGTCAGACCCTGGGGCCATCAAAGAAAGACAATATTCTGAGGCCTACCTCGATGAGAATCCGCATTCGCCCAAAGCCACCAAGTTGAGGAAGCAAATCCTCCATGGCTCGCGAGCATATCTCGAAAGGGCATTCTATCGGGAAGTCGAATCCGTGATTGAGAAGAATCCTCGAGAAGCTCAACTAGGAGGCCGTCCCACCCTGATGAACAAGATCCGCGCCTACATTCGTGTTCGAGCTTCCCGAAAAGATCTTGCCCCCGATGGAACAGAGCTACAACAGATTGGGGATAATGGCGACTATTGCTGGATCATCATCTTCTATCTTCTGAGATGCGGGTTCGTCAGACAGGCTGTCGAATATGTCAGCAACGACCCTGCTTTCCAGTCGACGGATCGAAAGTTCATCTCGTACCTGACCAACTACGCCAGCAGCCCCGAGCGGAGACTGTCGAGAAAACTGCAAGACATGATCAACGGCGAGTATCAGCAGCGTCTGCGGAACGCACCGGAAAACACTCTCGATCCATATCGCATGGCCTGTTACAAGATGGTGGGTCGCTGCGACCTGAACCGACGCAACCTCGACACCATTGGTCAGGGTGTGGAGGACTGGATATGGCTGCAGTTCAACCTGGCGCGCGAGGTAGACCGGGCTGAGGAGATCTCGGGCGAAACCTTTGGGCTGGATCAGATCTGTGAGACCGTGCAAGAGATCGGACAAAAGCATTTCCAGAAAGGTCAAGCCGAGGCGAGTGGTGGATACGGGATTTACTTTTTCATGCAGATGCTGGCTGGCATGTTCGAGGCTGCTGTGGCTTATCTCCATTCCCATAATCCTGTCAGTGCGGTCCATGTGGCAATCGCCCTCTCCTACTATGGTCTGCTACGGGTGTCGGATTACTCTGTGGCCGGCAATGAACTTGGTGAGTCTGCCCGCGTCTTCGCCATGTTCTACGGCTAACTTTTCGTTCGAGTGACCCGGACGACCACGGATCAGGCGCAGATCAACTTTGTGCCGCTGGTGGCGTATTACACTGCGTCGTTCCGAACCGCATTGCCCGTGGCTGCCGTCGATTACCTCGTCCTCATCTGCCTCCACTCGGATCTGCCTGCCACGAATGTCTGCGCCAACTCTGTCTGGAGACACGTGAATTTGCGCAGCTTCTCGGCGACATCCGCACTGATGGCAGTCGAATCCCCGGCGCCATTGAACAACAGGGCAGACTCATCAAGCTCGACAGCCATGGCGACTTTCTCAAGGCCGTCACCATGCAAGCTGCCGCCATCGCAGACGAACGATGCCAGGTCGCTGATGCCGTCCTCCTCTACCATCTCTGCGAGGATTATGATAATGTTGTCCGCATCCTCAACTCTGCTCTGGCTGACGCTGTGACGCTCGACCTGGGCGAAGCACAGATGCAGCTGCAGCCGCTGAAGCCACGCTCGGAGCAGCCTTCAGCCGCGAATGGAAATACAGAAAGCAGTGATCCTGCTTCCAGCCTGTCCCTCACCCAGTCCACCAACTCACCGCAGAAACTGGCGCACAACATGATCTCCCTCTACAATTCCAACGCCCTCTACTATAATCGCATCTCGCCCCAAAATCGAACCAGTTGCGCGTTGCTCCTGCGCTTGCTCACCGCACGGTCCTACCTGGAAAGCAATCCGCCTCGCTTCATGGAGGCTCTGGATGAACTGCACAGCACCAATCTCCTGCCGCTCCGCGCTGAAGGAAG